AATCGCGAATCACACCCTTCCCACTCTTCTCTTGTTTTCTGCACTCCTACGCGACTAATGAATACTTTCCCAGTCAAACCGACAACAAGCAGAGTTCGGACCCTGGGCTACCTGCCGTATTAGCCTAGCAACTCGTGAAAAGCATTCTGAAATTATTTGATGAAAAGCAAATCGGCCATACCCTGTACACAGCGGTGGAACTTTATGACATCAAAACAAGTTGATAAATTATGTCACGGTCTTAGCTTGCTGCAAAAAAAAGCGTGTGAAACGCGATAACAGAAATTCATTTAGAGGCATTGCGGTCGTCTGCAAGAATGCAGCTATCCGACATCCGTTTTTATTCTTAAACATCGCCACTGTGGTTAGTAAAAGCAGCAGTTGTCTTTTGCACTTCCTCAAATTGTGATTCTTTTTCTGTCTTCTATCAGCGGTTGTAGTTTTGAAGATCCTCCCTCTGCCTCCATTTAATATGCTTGTGAAGGAGAGCACTCCACATTTTGTGTTTCATTCGTTTTCGCATTTCCGTAACTGCGAAGGTCCTGGAGTCTGACCGTTAAGCTTGAGCGCTGTTTGGCTCATTTTGCGCGTCCAAAAAACATGAACGAGGTATTAGTTTTGCCCAGTATTTGTCACGGTTGTGCCAAAAATTGAGGATTAAAGTTGTTATACGATTCATTTATTCGTTTTGATGGTAAATTGATACTAGCATATGTCAAGGAATGAAACCGGCCATCAGCTTGCTTATAAATAACCCCCAAAAGAGGGGTCAGCGGAAAAATTGTCAACAATTGGCTGTTGTTGGCGCCACACAGGCTATTACCGGGTATATCCGCCTTTTGTAGGGAGTGATTACCATGGAAGGATATATCCAGTACTGTTATACAGTGAAGTCATCGTAAATGACCACAACCCTAAAATGACTCTCTTTAAGTTGACCCACTTTTTATCAACCTCAGTAAATTCAGAATTTTCTCCCAAAAACGGCCCGAAGTGGTTTGGTTTATTTTGAAGAGCCCTTCTGCCGTAGTTATGCCGGTGCCATCCATATATAAGTTGAACTCACTTGTTTCATGAAATTAAATAAGCAATTTAGTAATTCTGCCTGTCCTTTTAATTTTTGATTCTGGTCTCTTTCAACAATGCTGGTGTCAGTTTTCTTTAGGGCAGCAGATAATTGGAAACGATTTGGGCCAGCAGATGAGTCGCTTCGCCTTGG